GATGACCTCGGAGGTGAGGAAGCCTGAGGAGCAGGGTTTGCTTCTTACAGGGGATGTGTCCTCTGGCTTAGCTTGAAGCAAGGGGCTGGTCTGCTGCCAGGGTTGCAGATTTCTCAGCAGCTGCTGCCTGAGTGCATGGGGAGCGAGCTAGTGATGGGGTTTGCAATGTGGAGAGTAGTCTCCACATTGGGCCTTCAGTAGTCTGTTGGGCCTTCAGATCATCGTAGGGGCCTAGGTATGAACCAGAAACCAGGAATGAAAGGCTTTCTGTCTTAAAAGACCCATCTGTTAGGTCACCCTGTCCTGTTGACTCTTTCCACTGCAGTGGGTGTGGTGGTAAAACTGGACAGATGTGATTTTATTGGGTTTTTTTTTGAAAGGAAATGGCCAGTAACGAGCTGAAAGAGATCAGGAAAGCCATGACAAAGGAAGCAATCCGGGAGCATCAGATGGCCAAGACAGGAGGGACGCAGACTGACCTCTTCACCTGTGGGAAATGCAAGAAGAAGAACTGCACCTACACCCAGGTTAGTCTTCCTGCTCCTACGGCCTGCGCGCCGTTGACCTCTGCACAGGACATGATCCATCACGGTCACGAGCTCTTACTGCTCCGTGACAGGCCCTGCAGCTCGGCACAAATTTTGCCACTGGTGGAGAGAACCTTTTTGTACACTTGAGACTCTCTAAAACGTGCTGCTTTTTCACAATGATTTTGCACACGTTTCCTTGGAGCTTGTGTAACTTTTTTGGCTCGTTTGTACAAAAGCAGGGGTTGTGCAGCACCAAGGAAGCTTTCAAAAGTATAGCAGTGCTGCTTGCTGTGCGGCTTCGGAGAGCTGCACATTGAAAGCAGGTGCTGGGAATGTGGAGATTCAGACAAAAAAGGAGTGGGTTGTGTAGAGGAGAGAGTCTGCAGAAACCGAGGCAGGCATGTTGATGGCATTAGAAGTGCAAATTAAGAATGTAGATAAGCTGTGGCTGGACAAATCCCAACCTATTTAAAATCAAACAACATGAAACAGGTGAAACATAAGGAATAACAAAGCAGTGATGTGAGCAGGCAGAGGGGATTTTTCTCCTCAACGGACAGCTGCTGGAAGCCTTGTGTGTTAAGTGCTTCTTAGTTCCCATGTTTGCACCAGGCATCTGGAGATAAATGTGCCTTTGCTGTGAGTCAGTGTTTCAGAATGTGCAGATACCCAAAAATGCACCAGCAACCACGCGATCGCTACTGAGTGGGTGCGCGCAAACTGTGTGTGCGAGTGCCGAGTGAAACTCCTTCGTGTGCTTGGACGTGACGTGCAAATGCAGATGAGAGCCAGGCAGCTGACCAGGGAGTTTTTTCCTTTGGCTCAGCGGCAGCCCTGCATCCCGCAGGCTGGCTCAGGCGGGAGGCCTCGCTCCGCGAGTGCGTCCCGGTAAGTCAGCTGGAAGCGCTGCCTGGGCTGTCTCGCTCGCCTCAGCAGCACGTGGGACTCTGTCTCCACCTGTAGTGGACTGGAGTCTGACTGCCTGGAATTGGGGCAGGTGACAACAGTGTCTTCTAAATAGAAATACCAGAAGGTTTTCTGTATTTTTATTAGTTTTCCAGTGAAATCACTATTTGGTGACTGAGATGTTGTAAGTTCCAAGTAGATGAACTGGCATTTATGAAACTGTTTGAAACCAGGCAGTAACGTCGGGTGAGAATTACAGAATTTAGCTATCCAGCTTGCTTGCAAAACATGCTTAATTTGCATCATGCAAATACTGTGCCTCTTACATATTGGGTAATTACACATAGATCACCATAATTACCCCATGACATAGTTCTGCTGTCTGACTTGTGCAGGGAGTGCCAGTATTTTCAGCGTAGATCTGCCTTGTGGTATTCAAATGCCATGAAAATCTGATCTTTAACAAAGTATGTGTTTCTGGCAAGAGCCAGTCAGAGGCAGCAGTCACATCTGGGTTAAATATCAGAGTTTCTTAAAGGCTCAAATACAAAACAGACTGGAAATGTGAAGAACCTGGTAACCCAGAGCATGTTCCTGTGAGGCCTGGACGTAGGACTGGTCTGTAAATGGGAATGGCTTGAGTGCTGCTCCTTGTGTCTCTGTGGAGCACGTGCTTGATGGGCTGAGGGCTTTGTCTCACCGCCGGCTGCATCCCTTCCCCGGGGATGGTACGGGGAGGGACCGGCTGTGGGTATGTCCACCTCCAGAGCCACCCGCAAGGAATGGGCAGCAGAGGGGGTGAGGAGTGAAATCTGCTGCCCCAAAACATGTCACTCCAGGTAGCGTCAAGCTAGAGAGGGGTCATGAGATGTGTGTGTGGAGGTGTATATCTGTGTAAAACAATAACCAGTCTCGTTTTACAGGGAAGCTCCTCTTGCCCTCCCAAGCCTTGGTATCTCATCGATTTCTGACAGTGTGACCCCAGCACGAATCCCTGGTGGCCAGAGGGACGGGGAGCTCCCTGTGACCCCCCGCGGGGCCACGTGTGATGCTTGGCTCTCATTTCCCTCATGTCCTCCCCCAGGTGCAGACCCGCAGCTCCGATGAGCCCATGACCACCTTCGTCGTGTGCAACGAGTGTGGGAATCGCTGGAAGGTAGCACACCAAGGATATTACTGGCACTGAGGGGTGTTAGGGTAGCTGCACCCACGATGCTGCAGACGCTTAGCTGCTGCCCTCAGAGGTGCTTGCCAAACGCTGACTGGCTCTAGCAAGTGATCTTTCCTCCCAGCACAGAGGCAAGAGCTCCTGGGTTCATCCCATCTCTGCAGACCAGCTGGGGTCAAGTCTCACTTTCGCATTCCCTGCCTCCCTCCTCACATCCCCTCTTCTGCCATGACCAGCTTCACAGTGCTTTCCATGCTCCCTCTGCCCCCTGAGAGATGGTGGTGATGACATTCAGGATTTTAAAACTGCTCTTTTACACTGCGCAGAGCTCGGGGGTGAGCAGAAATCTCCCGGTCAATGGCGAGCAGAAATGGTGCCACTACCAAGTGCCAAAGAGCCGCAGCCGAGAGATTCAAACGGGAGCTCTGTTTGGCCCCTACTCCAGGGGCTGAGCCCTGCCTCTGCAGAATCCCCAAGCCCTTGCCAGCTTCAGAAACAAGACCATCACCTGGATCCCTATCTTCTTCTAGGCAGCACGCGCATGACCCGCAACTCCCCTTGGCAGTGAGGTTTTCTAATCGGGGTTTAAACTCCCTTCTCTTGCAGTTCTGCTGATATGTGCCATGGCCCGAGAGCGGCAGCCAAACGCAGATCAGAGCGCAACCTCCATACGCCAGCTCCCACGGCAATTGTGTATTGTGTCCCAAGTGAGTTTGCATTGTCACGCGCTGAGAGAGCGGCGGCGGGGGCCCCTGCCTCTCCGCTTGGGCCTCAGTGGAGAGCCACAGCTGTGGGCTGACAGGGTGGCAGGAGAGCTCACTAAACACACTTAGTCGTTATTTTTCTCATCTAAGCGAGTATGGTCACTTTTTTCTTCAAAACTAATATTAAACATTTTTGTCAGTTTCTGACTTTTATTTGAACTCTGTGTGTGCAGCACTTTGTTTTTGCGGCGTGGAACTGCACGGGAGCTTGACAGATGGTCAGTGTCCAGGTGGATGAGGACTGAACGCTGCCTGGACCACCTGAAAGCGAGCAGCTGCTTGTAGGTACACCCTCAGTGCTTGTTCTGAGTCAACTCGTGACACCTAAAACACCGGGCCAAGTGCTGGGGTGGCTGCATGGGCGGTACTGGTCTTCCTCTCCTGGCTGAGGAGACCTGTTGATGGAACGCAGCTTTTGGGGCGCAGATCAGATGCTGCTTTCCATCTTGACGGCATTCATTTGATTTTTGCCCAGTGGTGCATGCCTTGTCATCTCAGGCCTTTAAATGGCAACAGCGTAGGCTGCTGCGAGAGGGGAGTGTGCTGCCCAGGTTGTAACAGGCTGAAAGCAGGGTGACACCAGCCACAAAAAAAAACCTGACCCAAATGGTTGACTGGGGGGAGCAGGACAGGGAGGAAGGTGTGCTAGGCCCAGGTGAGGTTAGTCTTGATACAGGGAGAAGCCATCAATAAAGGAGGTGGAGGAAATCCACTGGCCTGTGGGAGAGTTAAAAGGGAGTCCCAGGCGCTTTCCTGGCTGTGCATGCTCTGCTCTTAGCTGGACGGCTGAAAGGCAGCCTGAATTTTCAGAGGGACTGGCTGGAGAGGCTCAGGAAGAGGAGGAAATGCTGCAAACACAGGAAATTTTCCAGAGGCTTGGACTGGAAGAGGTAGGGATTGCAGATAGTGGTGGGAGTCGTTAGCACTTAGCTCTGGAAGTGGTGGGGTTTGAAGTGAGCTCAGAGCTGGAGCAAAGCAAGCTTCAGGTGCTGTGTCTGCAGACAGGGCCCTGTGAGGGGGACCTGCAGGGTGAGGCTCTTCCTGGGAGGCAACTGGAACCTGGTGGGGAAATTCTGTCTGTCCTCACAACAGCTTTCAGCCTGAGACTTAAAATCCCTCTTCTCTTCCTAGCCTTTAACTGGGGTGCTGCAGCATTTGGGGGACCCCAGCAAAGCCTCTGAGTTTGAGGCCGCTCTGGAGCAGTCCTCTGCGCTGCAGCTCTTGCGCTGACAAGCAGGGCAGGAGCATTTGCAGTCACATCTCTTATGGCATCGCTCCCCTGTTCCAGAGTGAAAAACAAGTATTTCCACTGGCTTCTCAGCATGCCAGACAGCAGACATTCAACAGGGACCTTGGAGATGTTCAGAGAGGAGTAAGCAGCCACATGAAAGCAGTGGAAAACGTGCTCGCAGCCCCTTTGAGGGCTGTGCTCCTCTGGAGGCAGGGATCCCAACAGGATCCTTTGCTCAGGGCTTTCACGTTACGGGGTGCGGCCAAGTCTCCCAAGAAGGAAAAGACTCAAAGATGCTGACAGCTCGTTTAAGCCTCACGAGTCTTGCGGCGAATGGGATTATTCAAGCCAGGCTTGGGAGGGAACAGTGTCCTTGCAGTAATGCTTAAAAAAAAAAAGCTTCAGGATCTGAAACCGAAGCTGGCCAAGGCCCTCTGGCTTGTGCGCTCGGAGTAGGAGCCAGCTAATGACCGGCTGCTGTTGCCTTTCTTCTCGTGTTGCTGTAAGGAGGGGAGCTGAGCTTGGGCAGAGTTCGCCGACAATCCTGAGCTGGGCAGGGAGAGTCCCAGGCAGACGGAGCCCCCCCCAAAATCTGTGTAAAGTACCAGGTCTGGGGGCCGTTTTCTGGGATAACACGGAGGAGAGCCAGTGAGGGGAAAGCCACTGGATAAAGAGGTGTCTCAGAAGTAAAGATTCACTTACAAGGTGTTTAAAAGTGCTAGGATCGGGAGCAAGAGACTAGATCAACCGGTGGCAGCGGGGGTCTTCCCTGGGTGGAGACCTCCATGGCGTGCAGAGGCTCCGACCCCCCTGCCGTGTTCCCGAATGGCTTCGGGGATGCTCAACCTCCAAACCTTGAGCTAAGGCCACATGAGATACTTCCTTTACTCCCAGAGCAAACCCAGCAGCCAGAACTAAAACCTCCCCGGCGCAGGGTGGGGATGCTGCGGGGCTGTAGCAGCGGAGGCTTGGCACCCGCAGGGGAAAACCTGTCAATAACAACCGAATAACAACAATACTGACATTCCTGAACAAATGAACTATCTCTGGTCTCTCTCAAAAATACATTTGTCTTGAACTGTATTTCCAGCTTGGCAAACAAAACTAAGTTTACTGACAGGAATTTCCACACGAGGAAGGAAACAAACAAACAAAAAGAAGCCGAGAATTTTTTTTGTTTGTTTAAAAAAAAAAATACCTTCAATAAAAAAATCAGCGCTCCTTCTTTTTTTTCTTTGAAAGGGATGGAGAGAGAAGGGGGGAAAGGGGTAGATCAATAGGAAACCACGGGCTGTCCCAGGTCAGGAAAAGCAAAGCCTAGTGTTGGTCTTCTGCAGCGTGGCCGGGCGGCAGGACCCCGGCGTTGGCTTCATTTCAGCCCGGAGGGCAGGGGCTGCTGGCAGGAACGTTTTAATTCTGGGCGCGGGGGCTCCAGTAAACCATTCCTCATGCCGTACAAAAATACACAGCGATCGCCTATCTTCCCTGCGGCGTTTCCCATCCCGCGTGGAGCCCTGCTGCCTGGGGCTAAGCTGCTCCCAGGGGAGGAGGGCAGACCCTTGGGCTTCTCCCCGCTCGCGGGGCGGGCGTGGGCCAGCCGGGAGCCTTCGCTTTCAGGGGTGGCGGTGCCTGGGGGTTTCTCAGGAGGGCAAAAAACCGAGGATGCGGGATGCTCTGAGTTCGGGGTGACGAGCGCGCGCTGTCCCGGG